CCCCCCAGTTATCTCCCTCAGTTGTATGTTAGTTATCTCTCCCTGTTTTCTGTTTGTTATCTCCCCCTGTTATTTGTTTGTTATCTCCCCCTGTTGTCTGTTTGTTATCTCCCCCTGTTGTCTGTTTGTTATCTTCCCCTGTCGCATGTTATCCTGTCATTTGTTACCTCCCTCTGTCGTATGTTATTCTGTCATTTGTTATCTTACTCTGTTGTATGTTATCCTGTTAAAGGTTATCTTCCCCCGTCGTATGTTATCTTCCCCTATTATATGTTATTTTCCCCTGTTGTATGTTATCCTGTCACTTGTTATCTCCTCCTGTAGGTTGACGAGATCCAGCAGCTCCTGGAGCGGGCGGGTTTCCCCTGCTGGGCAGACATCGCCATGGGTGGCCCCCCGAGGGGCAGCAGCAGCCGCAGCAACAGATCCTCAGTGGCCTTCACCCACGTGGACTCGGCCAGTGAGACCCTGGCCGGCCAGATCCAGCGCACCATGAAGGCGTGTCACGTGGTCGTCTGCTGCATCACTCCCAAGTACCTGCAGAGCGACAACTGTGCCAAGGACCTCACTCTGGCCGACGCTTTCCACAAGCCGATTATCCCCCTTCTGCTGCGCTACGCCCCCGCGGAGAGCGCGCCCAACTACGTGCGGAGAATCTTGCTGAGATACAGCTACATCGACCTGAGTAACGAGAGACTGTACAAACAGAACATCAACGTCTTGTTAGAGCGCGTCAGGAAGGCCATCAGCAGTGCCATGCTCAGATAATTCACAGACTACGGAGTTATTTATAGTCAGAAAAACATGCTCTGTTCAGATAACGGACAAACCAGGAATCTATTTATAGGAAGAAAACTGTCTCTGTTCAGATAATTCACAGACTGGGGAGCTATTTATAGGCAGAAAACATGATCTGTTCAAATAACTGACAAACCAGGAATCTATTTATTGGCAGAAAATACAATGAGTTAGAAAACTTCTGTAAAATTGTAGAACGGAAATGTGCTGTTTTCTGTGTTTAGTAAACGCACGCTTAGGCGCTGAGGAACAATTTTTTTTTCTCTGTGTAATTAGAAAACCGACCAGGTTCAACAGCGGTGCTGTTCTGAGATAGCTTAGGTCTACTCCGGCTGTTTGTTTCTGTGTATTCCTATCAGCATGATGGGTTATAAAACTACTATAAATCTTCAGAACGACATCTGCAGCATTTTGTTTAGATGACTTGCACAAAATGAGAAAAAGGATTTCTATCTTTGTATAGACAATGAAAGATCTTGTCAGTTTGTTAGTTTTGAGTGCTTAACCATCTGCTTGCACTGTATGCTTCCCGGGTATCTGAGAATGTTTCTGAATGTTCTATGGCCTGCTGGGGTAATAATATAGTGTAAAGCGCATAGAGCTTGCTTTCGAGTGGGGACATGCGCTATACAAATGCTATTTATTATCATTATTGTTCAGAAAACGAATTAAAAAGCTAGATCTACTTCTGCTTGCCTGATAGGCCAGCAAGCTGATCACATAAAGAACTTCTGAGTTATAAATGCAGTTTTTAAAATTATTTTAAGTAAGCAAGGCTCAAGTTCAATATTACTACAAGTCCTCAACAAGGAACATTTAAGGCACACTCAATGTTCACACGTGTTGGACAAGGTGACAGGTGTAGGGGAAGTTACATTATGACATGGGAGCTGTGTGTTACTGCGACAGATGTAGGGGAGGTTACATTCATTATGAAATCAGAGCTGTGTGTTACTGCGACAGATGTAGGGGAGGTTACATTCATTATGAAATCAGAGCTGTGTGTTACTGCGACAGATGTAGGGGAGGTTACATTCATTAT